CTTAAAGTAGCTTAAACTTTGAGAGATAAAATGATGAGAAAGCAATGTGCAAGTTTCTAATTTGTACAATTCAGCTTGTTTAATCAATCTATTGCTAGAAAAATTATGAGTTTATTTATAATGAACATACTTTCTATATGTTCAAACGCATATATGTATATGTGTATATAAATGTTTTTTTCTTATTTTCAGTAATACGAACAATTGGGATAATGCAGAGTATTTTTATATAAGCCAGAGCTCCAATTTACCGTATCAACCATTATTACCGCATCAAACATTATTAGAGGAAGAAGAAATTTTCAGAATGAAGATCCACTTTTAGTTCATGCGAGTTCATTAAGCAATAATATTTAGGTTAGTAATTTTTTATATCTGTTTCTCTCTATTAATTTTAAGTAGTTAATAAAAATAACAATTAATTATAAGTTCAAGTAAATAATACGTTATTTTAATAAGTCTCAATACATTTTAAATCAATGAGTGAAAGTAATGAAATTTTTTTTATTTTTTTGTCTATAATCGAAATTTGCTTTACATGTTTATTTTATTTTTTTTAGATAACACAAGAAATAATGGCAAATTTTAATCAAGAATTAATATGTAATAATAATATGTATGGCACGTGGAATTTTGACATTTTCTTCAATTTCTTATTTACATGCCTTCAATATGATGTTGAGGACATAAATATTGAAACTGAACACGAACATATTACAAATACAATAGAGGTAAATTATAACACATCATATAATCTAATTTAATATATTCATATATCAATATATGAAAAGATTATATTAATTATAATTATTTATTACTTAAGCTATTACATTATTTTAAAAATTGCTTGTGTGACAAGATATCGATTGAATTTTACTATTATATTTCCACAGATTAGTTCTAATGTGAATCGATCTAAAATGATGAAACGATTAGAAAGGCCAAAAAAGATTAAATTTGCTGTTGGAATAATTGTAACACATTATACATGGCACGATTATCATTATAATGGCTGTAATAATCATGACAGCGTTATTATTGGATGGCATCGTGAATGTGACAAAATGTTCTGAACCAGATTGAAGGAGACTAATATGTGCCCATATTTACGTAAATCCAACGGATATCATTATCACATCTGTGGATGTCATCGATTTTCAACCAATGCCGATCAACCGCACTACCTCCTTCTCACCGAGAATAATAGCATATGTTATGTGCCACAAGGTATGATTATTAGTAGCATTCTTATAAATCACATATGTGTTTTATGATCTTTTATCTGTACAAGGTATAATATATTTTTTTTATTTTAGATCAACTATTGATACGTCCACCAAAAAAAATCAATAATATAGAAATTGGAAGATATTTCACTAGATTCGAAGGCACTTATTACGTACCGAATAAAAGCTTAAGAGAACATTATCCAAACGACACCGCTGCAATAGCCAAAATACTTGCCAAGTAGTTTTTATTATCTTAAATTGTACAACTTATAATTTAATATAGATTGCAGAATATTTTCGAAAACATCTATTGACATTTTTCTCAAAAATGTTTTATTTTCGAGATTTCGAGAGTTGTTTTTCGTAACACTTTTGGCAAAAATATATTTCTCAATTTAGCTCTCATTATGAACGATATATATATGTATATAGATATAAAATATAGGATATCATTTTATAAGTTTTGTAAATATTACATTGTAAAAAATATTTTTTGCCATAGATTTAATTAAATAAGAAAAATAAAGATTTATGATGCATAAAAATTTGTGTATAACTTATTAATATGTATTTAAAAATTAATAAATTAAAATGCAAGATTTTGAAAGGATTATTGTAAATAAATCATTTCGATATTTTGCATATGAGAGAATCTCGAAAAATTTTTTCTTTTAAGTAAAGAATGTTATATAGCCGTAGTAGTATAGGGACTACTATATGGGGCATCATAACAAATCCCCTTCATTCGGCCACTGGCGCCAGTGACGTCATAGAGGGCCATTATAGAGCCAGAGAGAAGCCTGACAGGAGTCTATTCTATTATAATATAATAAATTTTCCTTTTAATAGTGTTCTTTTAATTTTTAAGAAGTTTTTATCTGAATTATTATCAACTTTAATGTATTTACTCATGATTGTATATGGTCGCTTGATTAAAGATTGTCTGTTTATATATCTTTTTTAAACGTTGCTCTATTTTCGGAATGGAGTACTATTTTATTATAATATAATAAATTTTTTTTATTCCTAATCACCACGCATTTCTGTTCAACGAATTCTCTTCTTCGAATCCTTGTATTGATATGGCCTATCAAATTCCGTTGCTTCAAGATCATAGGGGGTGCTTTTTTTTAAGATATTCAAACGACTAAAGCTCCCTACTATTCTCTCAATTATTGTCTCTTTTTTACTTTCCTTTTATTTAAATATATTAATATAATAAATATAATACTACTGTATCTCTCTTAGTTTGACTATTTCCCCTTTGACCTGTCCGGCATGGATGATCCTACCGGTAACTACTAGCGTTTTCGAGTGAACTCAAATTTACCGTATCCATTAAACATTATCAGAGGAAGAAGAAATTTCCAGAATGAAGATCCACTTTTAGTTTATGCAAGTTCATTAAGCAATAATATTTGGGTTAGTAATTTTTTATATCTGATTCTCTCTATTAATTTTAAGTAGTTAATAAAAATAACAATTAATTATAAGTCCAAGTAAATAATATGTTATTTCAATAAGTCTCAATACATTTTAAATCAATGAGTGAAAGTAATGAACTTCTTTTTATTTTTTTGTCTATAATCGAAATTTGCTTTACATGTCTGTTTTATTTTTTTTTAGATAACACAAGAAATAATGGCAAATTTTAATCAAGAATTAATATCTAATAATAATATGTATGGCACGTGGAATTTCGACATTTTCTTCAATTTTTTATTTACATGCCTTCAATATGATGTTGAGAACATAAATATTGAAACTGAATACGAACATATTACAAATTCAATAGAGGTAAATTATAACACATCATATAATCTAATTTAATATATTCATATATCAATATATGAAAAGATTATATTAATTATAATTATTTATTACTTAAGCTATTACATTATTTTAAAAATTGCTTGTGTGACAAGATATCGATTGAATTTTACTATTATATTTCCACAGATTAGTTCTAATGTGAATCGATCTAAAATGATGAAACGATTAGAAAGGCCAAAAAAGATTAAATTTGCTGTTGGAATAATTGTAACACATTATACATGGCACGATTATCATTATAATGGCTGTAATAATCATGACAGCGTAATTATTGGATGGCATCGTGAATGTGACAAAATGTTCTGAACCAGATTGAAGGAGACTAATATGTGCCCATATTTACGTAAATCCAACGGATATCATTATCACATCTGTGGATGTCATCGATTTTCAACCAATGCCGATCAACCGCACTACCTCCTTCTCACCGAGAATAATAGCATATGTTATGTGCCACAAGGTATGATTATTAGTAGCATTCTTATAAATCACATATGTGTTTTATGATCTTTTATCTGTACAAGGTATAATATATTTTTTTTATTTTAGATCAACTATTGATACGTCCACCAAAAAAAATCAATAATATAGAAATTGGAAGATAGTAGATAGTGGGCACTATGGGGCGTCAAAACAAATCCCCACCACCGAGCCTTGGCCCCCTGCTGTGACAGTCTGGGGCCCTCCCCCCTAAAGGTGTCTGTGGAAAAAAGAGTGGAGGGGACTCGTGGACGTCTACGAGACAATTTTCCTTTTAAATTTTTTAAATTAAAAAAAAATTTTTTTCCTTTTAAATTTTTCCTTTTTTCCGGTCGCGTGAACATGCTTGGGCTTCGACCTGGGTCCTCCACCTCTCCAAACAGGGTCCTAGTATGCTGGACTAGCTGAAAACTTATTAGAATAAAAGTTAAACGTAGTATTTGTGGAAAGTAACCCACCGTCAGGATAGGGATCCTGACGGTCCGATTGGTTCTCCCCATAGTGCCCAGTCCTCCGATTGGTTCCGTCGGTTCCGTCGATTTAAAGCGGATTGGAAAAACAAGCCAAAAAATAGTGCGTGGGAGAAAGCGGGCAAGATATCTGACAAAAAGCAGATGTGACGACAACCGACAAAATGGCGACCGTCGATACTGGAGATGCGTCTAGGCATAAGGCACCCAGCCTTCCCTCCCTATTACGGAAAACCGAAAGATATCGTGCGGTATACAACATCGTCCCATCGCCCCCCTTAGAGGAAAACCGGAAGATGCACGGTATATGTCGCCCATTCTCTTCCACCCTTCCTGTTGAAAAGTGAAAAATTGGATAAGGTACCGCTAGAATAAATTAGGTGCTATGAAGGGGTAACGAACACGTGCGTGCATGTACGGGTACGCTTGTCCAAGCGGGCGAGCCCCGCTGCACAGGTAGACTTACGGTAACATCATCGCTGGAGACGATAGAAAGGGTCTTGAAATATATACGGGTACCTGAGACTGCTTGACGCTAAGGCTTAGGATAGAGTCTATGATGTCACTGAGACGTCGGGAAGAAAGAAAGGGAAGAAAAATATTTTCACCTGGTTGCTTTAAAATAAAAAAACATCTTTATTTATATTACGCGGGAATATGGAACATTGTACAATGAAAAATTTACATATAATTTAATATTTATTTACAAAAAGATATAAGTATTGTTCGAAATCGAATTAAAGACGATGGAAGACGAGGCGCCTTAAACGAGATTTAATTTAAGGCGATAGGAGATACGGCTCGGCCGATCAATAATTTCTGATCAAATATCGCGGCGCTCCTCACTCTCGCGTCCACCTCTCTCGCTAACATTTGCTGGTCCTTCGAGGCGGATTCTCTGTGTCCGGTGCCGGTACGTGGAGTTAGTGCAGTGCCAGTGGTGAGCTCTTTTGTGCTTCTCCGAAGAACTTGCATCTAAAACCTCAAGATGAGTAAGGACATGGAAGCTGCTATCAGCATGCAGTTCGACCTCTACGGGCGCATCGCTCGCTCGTACGGGAACTTGAAAAAGGTAGACTCTGCTCACTATACGATCGGCTTAGTGGAAGCGCGTCTACAAGCCCTCGAATCCAACTGGGAAAAATTCGACATCCAACACGACAAGCTCCTCGCCGCATACAGGGACGCCCTAGCAGGACATGACTACCTAAAGAAGGACATGCAGTCTCTTACGGAGGAAGCTTACATCGCACAGAAGAGTATGTTCCTTGACATACTCCGCTCCCTGAAGAATAAGGTCAGCGCGGAAGCGCCTGCCGTCGGCGCGAATCCCTTGCAGACATCACGCACGACTTTGCCGCGGATCCAGCTGCCACAATTCTCGGGTCGGTACGAAGAGTGGCCTTCCTTCCGGGATCACTTCAACTCACTCATCGTGAAAGATGCCTCCACAGCTCAAGTCGAGAAGCTTCACTACTTGAAGACGTGCTTGAAAGGTGAGGCGAAACTATTAATCCGCAGTTTGCCGACGACAGCCGAAAATTTCAATCGCGCGTGGAAAATCCTGACAGGATATTACGAGAATAAACGTCTTCTAGTTCGTTCTTACATTTCGCGATTTTCGGCTCTTCAGAAACTCAAAAGTGAATCCGCTACCGAATTGCGAAAATTATATCACGGCGTAATGAGCACCGTCAGCGCTCTCGAAAGCATCGGACGGCCGATAACGCGCTGCGCCCTGCGAAATCAAGTCTAAATTTGGGGCGTTTGACGCGCGTACTTCACGCTCGTAAACTTGCGAGCAAACGCGGACAGTGCTCTATCTGCAGCCAAAATCACTACATCATGTTTTGTGACGGCTACAAGGCCAAGACCGCCGCGGAAAAGAGACAACACGTTGAAGCTAACAATTTTTGCTTCAACTGCCTCGGCAAGCACAAGCTAAGTGAGTGTACCTCGCAGAAAACATGCTCATCGTGTCGCGCGCGTCATCACACGATGTTGCATGATACATTTAAAGTAAGCGAAGTCGCGACATCCTTGCACTTCGCGCAGCGATCTAAAGAAGCAATAGTGCTTCTAGCTACAGCTCGCGTTTGCGTAACAGATCAAGACGGGGTCGTGCACACCGCGCGTGCCCTCTTAGATCAGGGCTCCGACTCGTCAATGATCACGTCTTCACTGGCACGACGATTACGATTAGTTCGTCAAGCAGCTTCTATCCGAATAATCGGCGTTGGTGGAAAGCCGTCGGGTCGCGTTAACAGCCGAGTCAAGTTCCAAATATTACCTGAAGGTCGAGGACCGCCGATAACAGTGACGGCAATGGTCTTTCCTCAGATCACCACCGTAAGCGGAGGGTGTAAAGGAGATCAACGAGCGTGGACACACCTCCGAGGACTGAAGCTCGCCGACCCTGACTTTAAGGAACCGGACCCGTTGGACATTCTGCTGGGCGCGGATGTCTACGCCGAAATTCTCCAGCCAGGCCTTCGGAAGGAAGCTCCACACGAACCTATAGCTCAACGGACGTCATTAGGTTGGGTTCTGTCTGGATCCGCGGGAACAACTGGCGAAACGATGCAGCGCAACGCTCTGTCGTACTATTGCCAAACGGACGAAGATTTGTCTTCTCTCGTAAGTAAATTTTGGCAGCAAAAAGAACTGCCCGTCTCTGGCTCGCCACTTACTCCAGAGGATCAAGAGTGTGAGAATTTCTACAACGAAACACACGCTCGCACTGCTGAGGGACGATGCGTCGTTTGGTTGCCGGTTGTCGCGCCGCTGCCGGACCTCTCTTCAACGCGTTTTTCCGCTCAGCAAGTACTCCTCTCCGGCATGGAGAAAAGATTGGACAGGGATCATCGCTTGCATCAACTATACGAAGACTTCATGCAACAGTATGAAGCCTTGGGCCACATGGGCCCAGTGAGTCAATCAGAACCAACCGAAGAGCGCGTGAGCTACCTGCCCCACCACGGAGTCATGAGGGAGTCGAGTACCTCGACTAAGCTACGCGTCGTCTTCAATGGCTCGACGACCACAGCTTCAGGCGATTCGCTCAACCGACGCCTCCTGGTCGGCCCTAATTTGCTGCCTCCTCTCTGCGATGTGCTTCTTCGATGGCGTCGACATCGGTACGTGATGGCCACAGATGTGGAAAAAATGTACCGTCAGATTTTGGTCCATCCTGACGACCGTGACTTGCAAAGGATCATATGGCGCTACAACAGGCAGGCCGATTTCCAGGAATACCGTCTAAATACGGTTACTTACGGGCTATCCTGTGCGCTCTTTCTGGCTATGCGTACTCTTCAACAACTCGCCAGTGACGAAGAGCAGCGATATCCTATAGGAGCATCCGTTATCCGCAGCGACGTCTATATGGATGACGTCCTCACGGGTGCCGCCACCCTCGATGAGGCTCAGGAGCTTCAGCGCCAGCTGACAGGACTTTGCACGGCGGGCGGCTTCCCTCTACGGAAATGGTCAGCGAACGAGTCTTCTATACTAGCGGAAGTGCCTATCGAACATCAAATGCAACGAGAGCCTCGGGCCTGGTGACCATACGAAACCCACGCCACACTCGGACTTCAATGGCATCCCGGGACGGACTGCTTCTCATTCGCCACACGGACAATCTCGGTGGCGAAAATAACAAAGCAATCAGTTCTCTTCTTAACAGCGCGACTCTTCGACCCGCTAGGATGGCTAGCGCCCGCTGTTGTGAACTGTAAAATCGCCTTTCAGGCTACCTGGTTGCAAGGCATCGACTAGGACGACTCCCTCGACAAAGCATCAGCCAAACGGTGGCAAGATTATCAAAGCGAGCCCCCCCTGCCAACAAATTCTTTGCTGCGTGACTTGTGTGCGTTGGCGGGCGGCGACGCCACAGCAGCTGATGGCCAGCCTGCCTCGCAAAAGGGTGACGCCAGCTCGACCCTTCTTACACACCGGCGTCGACTACGCCGGCCTTATTTTGCTGCGAACCACAAAAGGAAGAGGCCATCGAGCGTACAAGGCTTTCATCTCCGTATTCATCTGCCTTTCAACAAGGGCCGTGCATCTGGAGGTCGTATCGGACTATACGGCGGAGGCCTTCTTGGCGGCATTGCGTCATTTCACCTCTCGTCGCGGATTGTGCCAAACCATCCACAGTGACTGCGGGACGACGTTCGTGGGAGCTGACACACAGCTACGGGCCTTCTTCGCTGCCAGCAGTCCCGAACAACGGGCGATAGTCAGGCAGCTCGCCGCCGATAGAATTACATGGCTTTTCAACCCACCTTCAGCGCCTCATTTCGGTGGAATATGGGAGGCTGCCGTCAAGTCTCTCAAGCATCATTTGAGGCGGGTGTTGGGAGATGCAACCCTGATCTACGAGGAGATGAGCACTCTCCTCGCTCAGGTAGAAGCGTGCTTTAATTCACGACCTCTTCAGGCTCTTTCAGATGATCCGAAAGACCTCTCCGCTCTCACGCCAGGCCACTTCCTCGTGGGATCGGCTCTGACCGCCATACCTGAACCTTCCATGCTGGACAAGCCGATGAACCAGCTGGCTCGTTGGGCCGATTATGCCTCATCCGAAACGAAAACCTGCCACCAACGAAATGGCCCTTGGCACGCATCATTCGGATCCATCCCGGAGAAGACGGTCAAATTCGTGTTGTGACCCTCCGTACGGCTACCACGGCATTAACCCGGCCTATAGTTAAGCTCATTCTGTTGCCGGTTGCCGATAGCTCTGCGAGTGAAGAGACTCAAGTTTGATTGCTCAAGCGGTTTGCGTTTAACTTAGAATTTGCGGCATGCATATGTGTTAATAATAGGCAAGCGTGACGGCGACCTGTCGCCGGTCGTTCGATCAAGCAACGGACGGAATTGTTCTTGACATCGCGCCATAGTAACGTTAACTCTCGGGATTCCTTATGTACGAATTGAGATAAATTTCACCAATTGCTACTGGCGAGGCGGGCGGGATGTTCAAAATCGAATTAAAGGCGATGGAAGACGAGGCGCCTTAAACGAGATTTAATTTAAGGCGATAGGAGATACGGCTCGGCCGGTCAATAATTTCTGAGAATTCGGGATGAAAGAGATGACCGCTTTCGATGCAGTCGTTCTTGCTCTAGCTTATCGGGAGCTACGAGCCTTTCGACACTCCGAGCCTATCATTGCACTTTAAACTGACATCAGTGGTGCCCAATCAGGGGCTGCCAGCCCCCGTCAATCAAAAAACTACCGCGGGGGTGAATTGTTCAAGAGGATAGTGGATAAGTAGGAGAAGGAACGTGGGGAAAGCGGAGGTTCGGTCGCTGGTGTGATATAGTTGGGGAAGTAGATGGGAGAGTAACTGGGGGAGGAGTATCTTGGCGAGGAGGGGAGAGTAGGTTTGGTGGATACACGTAGTGGTTTTTTAATATGCGTGTCGCAAAATTCGCATGTTAACGGCGCTCGAGTCCTCCGACTCCTGCGAATTGCTATTCGGTTGGATGTTATAGTATACGTAGTACCGGATCTGGTTTTCACTACGAAACCAGAGGGAGTGTAATGTAGCGCTTATTTATTGCGAGGGTTAATGGTATAAATGAAATGGATGAGTGTGACTTACTTTTTATTTCGGAGATGGAAGGTGCAAGTTTTATTGTTAGACTGGCTTTGTGCCTTGTGGGTCGCTCTGGTTGCGATTGACCAACGATGATGCTGGATGAGGACACTGGTATAGCACTATTAACTCTGATTTTCGTATCGCGGTGCCAAGGCACTTAATAAGACTATGTCGAAGCTGGAGAGCAAGTACGTAAGTGAATGTATGTCCCTTTGAGTCCTCTTTTTATATCTCTCTTTTCGGGGTGTATTATAATTTCTAAGAGTGGGAATTTTCCAAAACTTCAACGAATTAAAAATTGTGCCAGTGTCGTAATTAGGCGGGGTGTTTCTCCTACTTTTCAAATTTTCACTCGTGATGATCGTCGATTGGTGATCAGTTCAGAATCCTGCTATGCTTAGTAGACGGACATCCCCGCCAAAATGTCCTAAGCAAAATAATATTTCTAATGCGTTGCTCGTACACATGTTGACAGTCTTTCTGAATAAACGGTAGTTATTTTCATTGTCTTCCTCCTCCGATATTTGCTCGAGATATTTTTTAGTCTTAAATTAAGGTATCGCGACACTACACAATATCGTAATTTTTCTTAGAATATCACCTCAACCAATGAAAGGATAATAAAAAACAGGCGTTAACAGGTTCAAACGTTTGGAACATTATACTGTAAAAGGAAAGAAGGGAGATGAAAAAAATTTAACAATTTAAGTAAAAAATAAATCCTACTTTTATTGATATTAATTTTACATCAATCAATATTTTTATTACATATAATTAAAATATTACATAGGAGTACATCGTCTATACCGTATTACAATTCGAATTACATGATTAAACACGGCAACGCATAGCGTAAAATGTTTCACTTGTTTCTTTTTTCGCGAAGAAAAATTTTACGAAATAAGTGTACGATTAAGCGATCGTTATGTTCGCAATCTTGGGGAGGGAAGAAAAAGGAGGGAAATTTTCCGAGTATTACGTTGTAACGGTCAAATACTTGAGCGCGATAAACATCTATCCGGCAAAATCGACGATGACTTGACGAGACGAGCCGATTTCTATTACATTATCGAATTCGGCGTAAATAATACAATTAACGGTCTCTGTGAGAGCTTTCTCGAATCGCGCTTCTAATCGCAAACTACCATGTCAGTAGTATAGGGGCAACTATAGCTAGACACAACAAACCCCCACCCCTCGGCCACTGGCGCCGACCCCCTGCTGTGTGTCTGACCACGCCCATCACAGGTACCTATGGAAAAAAGAGAGGACTCGTGGACGTCTACGAGACAATTTTTATTATTTAAAAAAGGGGGAAGGGATGCGTGAACGTCTACGAGATAATTTTAATTATTTTAAAAAGAAGGAGGGGATGCGTGGATGTCTACGAGATAAGTTTAATTATTTTAAAAGGGGGAGGGGACACGTGAACGTCTACGAAACAATTTTTTATTTTTTTATTTTTTCTTTAAAATTTTTTCCTTTGAAATTTTTTTATTTTTTTATTTTTTTCCGGGGCAAGTGGAAATACTCGGGGTCCTCCACATTTCCAGACAGGGTCCCAGTATGCTGGGCTAGCTGAAATCTTATTAGAATAAGGATTCGATGTAGTATTTGTAGAGAGTAGTCCTCCGGCATAGGGGACCCTACGCTCTGATTGGCTTCCCTATAGTTGCCGGCAGTTTGATTGGATGAGGAGCATGTTTCCGAGTGAGAGGGAAAAACGCGGCAAAATAACACGTGTGTAAGAATCGGCAAGATGGCGGCCACTGAGAATGGAGACGTCACGAGAATAGAAGGGGTCGTAAAAAGCAAGTCTGTGCAGGTAGCGATTACGTTGGTTTTAGAGCTTTATGACGTCACTTAGACGAGGAGAGAAAGGATAGGAAAATAGTAAATAGTAGTGATACTATGCGGATTCTAAGCAAGGGGCTCTGAGGCATCCTCCTTTTTTTCCATAGCTAGTCGGTATGTTATAATTTCACCTGCTATATTTAATAGATGGACATCACCGCCAAAATGTCCCAAGCAAAATACTATTGCCAATGCATCACTCGAACAGCTGTTGGCGGCCTTTTTAAATAAGCGATAATTGTTTTCGCTGTCTTTTTCCGATATGCGGTCGAGATATTTTTTGACATCAAATCATGGTAGAGCAACAGCACACAATAATGCGATTTTTCTTAAAATATCAGCGACACACATTTTCGCACACTCGGACTTAATTTTAAGTTATTTTCATTTTATGTCTGACTAATTCCCTTAGTTTCTATAGGGTTTCGCATTTGCCGCGCCGAAAGAAATTATGTTACCACAACCAATGAAAGAATAATAAAAAACAGGCGTTAAAAAGTTCAAACGTTTGGAACATTATACTGTAAAAGGAAAGAGAGGAGATGAAAAAAATTTAACAATTTAAATAAAAAAATATCCTACATTTATTGATATTAATTTTACATAAATCAATATTCTTATTACATATAATTAAAATATTACATAGGAGTACATCGTCTATACCGTATTACAATTCGAATTACATGATTAAACACGGCAACGCATAGCGTAAAATGTTTCACTTGTTTCTTTTTTCGCGAAGAAAAATTTTACGAAATAAGTGTACGATTAAGCGATCGTTATGTTCGCAATCTTCGGTAAAAAGACTAAGAAACCGATTAAGATCATAACCGTTGCACATATAATATAAAAATACGCAACTATATTGTCCACATGTTTGAGAAAAAATTCCTTGTAATTGTTGAATATTACAACGATGGATGATGGAGTTTCGACGAAGTCGGAGGAGAAATCCGGGGTGCAAGGGTAGTATTCCGTAGCTGTCGAAGTATGTGCCTGTACCATGCTCGTCGAGGAAGAAGGCGACCCAATGTTCTCCAGGTCGATTGTGGTCATCCGTATTAGCGACGATGGCAGTCGACCTCGTCCACACCCTCGGGACTCTGTCGGCTGGATAAACTCCCGCATGCCTGGCATTGATGTGGTGCAATGCTTGTAGAATTTCGCGAGAGTTCATTATTTTGGTACGGAGGCGAACGAACGAGCGGTATTATATATTCAATAACTTCGGTTTTTACCTCCTTCGGTAGTGCGTCTTTGGTCGTGCCGGCTTGTATCGCTGAGTTTTCAATGTCGGCTTGTGTGGAGTTAGTAGTTGCTTCGAGCTTGTCTCTATCCATCAACGACGATAATTCAGATTTTTCAAATTTTTCTTCTTTTTCTATTGATCGCTCGGATTTTTGCAGATTTTTTTTCTGTATTTCATTTCTATTGCGCGAAATCTCATACGCGCTACTGATTTCCTCGTTTTCGTCGTTTTCGTTTTCAGCGTCCTCGTCGTCGTCGTCGTCGTTGTCGTCGTCGTCGACGTCACAGGCGTTTAAACTCCAATTATCCGGAGAACCACAAGTAGCTTGAGTACTAACGTTCGTATTGCCGTAGGCGATATTATTTCGCTCGATCAACCAATATTTTAATTTATAAACGTTGCGTAATGCGCAATGAAAGAGTCCAAATTTTCGAAATCCGTGGTAACCACAATATCGTCCGCGCACTTCTCCCTCTGACAGATTTTTGAATGCGGGAGAAATATCTTCCAAATTATATATATTTCTGGAGAGTAGATTCCGCAAGTAGGTTGCTTTTTCTGTACCTCTGACATAAATGTATCGTCTTCGTTCAAAAAATGGATGACCGTTCCCGCGAAATGCGTTTGATAAGCTTCGACATAAGGAGGTTCCTCCGGTGAGAAAACCGGTTGTAGCCTACTAGGAATTTGCATACGACATATAGCATAGTCGACGTATAGCAAAAAGAAATTTATTCCGTAATTTTTGAAATTAAACGGATTTAATTTTCTATTCCCATTAAACGCTTTATTATTAACAAAACCGACTATTATCCTTTTCGGAAGTTGACCAGTATTACCATATCCTTTTCGGAAGTTGACCAGTATTACATTATCTAACGATTCACCCACAACACCACTGTGAATCGTAAATGTTTTAAATTCGACTCTCATGAGCGGATATTTGACCGTAACTTTACTC